CATTGAACAGATTAATGTAAAGATGCAAGAGATACATGAACTAATTGCTGAGCTGAGCTATAGCACTTAATACATGTAATTAATATTAATAACTAATTGAAACCTGACATATAGTATGAAAATACAAAACCTTTCTTCTTCATCAACCATAGACTTAAAAAATACAATAATAATCAGGTTCATATACAAAAATGTCATCATTATACGAGCTATGTTCGCTATCAGAATAATAACGGTCATCATCGTCAAAAAAATAAAAATCATCAGACTCGTAACTACTAAAATCATTTGAATATTCAATTTCTAGTATGACATTTCTCGCGTCCTTGAGAACCTGATCGTCAGAAATGGACGCGTTCGTGATATCAAGTTTTTTTAGTCCGATATCTTGAGCGTATTGTGTAATGACTTTAAGATGTGTGTCGAAAATGCAACAGTTTGGCAGTGAAAGTTTTTCGCATTTCGCTCTGGTCAATTCGAGAAAGTATTGTAAAGCCATTGACCCAAATTCCAAATTGAGATTGCAATAGATATGCCGAAAGTGATTGGCGGGTAAAGAGATTCCCAGATTAAATATAAAATCGTCTGCTTCTATGAAATGACAGGATTTATGTTTAAGGAAACCATCTTCTATTCGGAGATATTGTAAATTACTCCAAAGATAAATGTATGGTAGCATTTTAGTAAGAATACTGAGATAAGGTTTCTGTTGCTCCTCATCTTGCAAACCTTCTTCGATTTGTGGATACACAACAATGCAAAGTTCTTGTAAGTAAGGACAGTAACGTGGAGCCTCCGGAAGCATTATCTCCAAACTATTTTCGTCAAGAGTCAAACATCGAACCTGAGATAACGATTGACAAGCCCCTGGCAAATTAAAAGGATTCCAATCATCGTTAGAGAACAATTGGTACCCGTTCTCGTAGTCAAGCCACTCGTACCCGGCCAGCGTGTAATTGAGATCAAGTCGATAAAGAAATTTATCAGAGCTGATTAGTTTTCTAAACAGAATCTTTACCAAATTCACTTGGTTGATTGCCAACCCGTTTGCCGACTCAAAAAGCAAGCAAATATTCACGGATTTGATGAATTCATAATAATAAAATGCTGGTGTATATTTCGCCAAATTTGGCAAATACTTTTGTTTGTCTTCCTTATCAAGACAAGTCAACAGTGTTTGAAAGAGAGTGAGTGATTTTCTCTTGTAAAATGGGTCTTCCCACAAGAAAGAAACTGTGTTTCGGCACCAGTGACGGTTAACGAGAAAACATGAAAAAAGTTGTGGAATTTTTTCATCTTCATCAAAGTATTTGAAAATTTCAGCAAAACATAAATTTGGTAGAGTAGATGCCATTGTCGCTCATACACAATTTTTGAAGTACAGTCATACCTCTTTATAATCACGCGCTGTTGGCTACAGTCCAATATTACGTAAAATGTAACTATACTATATAAAGATACGTATGAAAGTTTAATATCATCCATATCAGAAAATCAGTGTTGTACTGATGATTACCTTTTGCTTTTCAAAACTTCAATGGAAATTGTTTCATCAAAATTGTGGAAAAAATTGACAATTGAGATGACAAGAATGATAAGAATTACTTTTTTGTAAACAATTCATGAAGAACAACACTGAGATTGTTATTATCTAATAGATCGAGATATTTTATTATCGCTTTTTTCAACAATTAACAATGACACTAGACATTTGTTTGGGAAATAATAGAAACATACTTTTTACAGAATATGAGACTTTAATTAAAATGAACCAATCATTTTTTTTAAATTATTATTTTAAAAAATTTTTTAATAAAATCAGTTTTTATTAAACTTAAATTAAATTAAATTAAATTATAAGTTTATTAATTAAAGTTTTGAAAATTAAAATCAGATAAACTTGTATAAATTTACATATTAATAAAAAATATAAATAAATTAAAATTTACTTAATAAATTTTATAATAAATTAGAATTGAATAAAATCAAGAACTAAATTATTAGAATTCTTATAAAATATAATAAAATAAAAATTTTTTGTTTATATAAAGTTTTAATTTTATTAATAAATATTTTTTATTTTTATAGTCAAACTTCTCTATACTTACCATCTTTAAGAAAGTAAAATTTGGTGATTATAAAAAGAATATAATTATAGAGGAGTTTTTTACTATGTTTATATATAAATAAAAAAGCAAAATAGAGCAACTATAGAGAAATATGATTATAAATAATAATATATTAAAATAAAAATTATAAATTATATTTTAATATATAGTAATAATAAAAAAGAATGGAATGCTAAAACAAATTAATTAATAAAACATAGTAAAAATGCAGGTTTTTCTCTTTATATAGAAGTTTTTAATTTTATTAATAAATATTTTTTATTTTTATATTAAAATAAAGATAATATTACATATTTTAACATATATATTTTTCAGATTTTTTAGATTTAATTCAATAAAGCTGTTCTAATTGTATATAAAATCAATTATTTTTTAATAACAAAAACATATAAAAAATACTTGATTTTATATATAATTAGAACAGCTTCATCAGATTAAATCTAAAAATCTGAAAAAAATATATGTTAAAATATATAATATTATCTTTATTTTAATATAAAAATAAAAAATATTTATTAATAAAATTGAAAACATTTATATAAAGAGAAAACCTGTATTTTTTATATTTTTACTATATTTCATTAATAAATTTGTTTTAGCATTTTATTCTTTTTGATTGCTATTATATATTTTTTGAATTTTTTAGATTTTATTTAATAAAAATATTTTAATTATAAATTATTATAAAAATTTTTTATTTTAATATAAAAATAAAAAATATTTATTAATAAAATTGAAAACGTCTATATAAAGAGAAAAACCTATATTTTTTATAATTTTAATATATTTTATTAATAAATTTATATATTTTTCTATAATTTATTAGTTATTATATATATTTTTTTATAATTTTATTAGATATTATATATATTTTTCTGATTTTCAAATTTTATAATTGAATTTATATTTAATTTAAAAAATTTTTTAATTAATTTTGTAATTAAATAATTATATTTAATTTATATTATATAGTACTAAAAATTTAAACTCAAAATTTTATTTTAAATTATTTTAATATAATATAAAATATTATAATATATATATTATAATTTTATATGGTCCGGTGCATTAATATCTGTACCTCGATTTAAAAGATTTTTATTTGCATAATACTAAAACCACATGCAATGATCCAAATAAACCCATTTTCACATAATAAAATAATTATATATAGATGTATTTTTTTTCGCAAAATTTATCAATTCCTCATGTCTAGTTCTTGCGTAAACTGAACTCCCGTACCACTAACAGCGAACGAAAAATGGATGGTATTGAACATCTACAGATACTTTTCTGAAGCTACATCCATAGATAAACAAAATAAAAACATGTTATTATATAAGCGAGTTGGTCTGATTTTGGAAATTGCAGAGAGTACGGTTGGGATTGTGTTGTCTGATTGGAACCAGCGTAATGATGGCACATTTACACCACATCAAAATCTTGGACGACCTAAATCTCAACCAGACGAAGATATCACATCACTTTTGCGAATTCACATTATGAACAGCAACAAGACAGGACAACAACTTTTCACACCTTTCTTATGACAATTTCTTTCTGAATATGGATACGTACTTTCCAAGTGGCAACTTCTCCGAATACTACAGCAGTTGGACTATTATTATGGACAAGGAGAACGAAGAAACATCCTTCATGAGTCATCAAACAATGTTGCATTTCGCTGTCGTTACCTTCATTACTGTTTTGCTAACCTAGAGGGCAACAATAATATTCCACACCTTCCGGAAGTTTTTCTTGACGAGTCGTATTGTCATTTGCATCATACATTATTGAAAACATGGGTACCTCACAAGGGCATCGTTTCAACACAGGGATGTGGTCTGTTGTTAATAATTTTTGGTGCAATTGTCATTTTTCAAAATGGCAACAGTAACAAGATACATGGTGAGCTTGTGTCAAATTCTGTTTATCTTTGGGATCCTGCAATTAAACCTCCTGGAACTCGAGGATGAAAACGATATAATGCTGAAGAATGAAACAATGTTCCAGATATCATTAAAGATGTCAATATTATTCCTGACCAAGCGGACTACCACAGAAACTTCAATGCTGACATTTTTGAAAACCTTTTCACAACACTTTGTGAAATAATTAGTAAAACATATGGCCGAGTACATATTCATATAGATGACGCACATTACTATAAGCGAAGAATTGAAAATGTTCCAAACACAAGCACCAAAAAAAATGAAATAGTCGACTGGTTAATAGCTCACGAAATTTTTTTTCCTGACGGACTACGCAAACCTGAGCTTCTAGAACTTGTGCAGAAAAACAAAGAAAAAGTTCCATTTGCTTGTGTTGAGATTAGAGATGGCGCAGCAAGTATGTGATGCTTATTTGTCACCCGTTGCAACACGTTGCAACTCCAAAATTTTATAAGCCGCAACTAGTTGCAACTAGGTGATGCTTTATTTATCACCACGTTGCAACAGTTGCCATGCCATCTTTAGTACTGCTCCATATTCAGAGTCAGAGACATCAATATAAAGATAAAATTTCTTTGTGAAATTCAGATAAACTCAAATTGGTACTGTGGTAAGTATTGTTTTGATTTTGTTAAATGCTTCTTCTTGTTCAATAGTCCAGATAAAAATGATATTGTTGCGTAGTAATTTGAAGAGTGATGCAGCAATTTGTGAAAAATCTTTAATGAATTTTCAGTAGTATTCAGCTAATCCAAGAAATAATCAGAGTCCTTTAACAATATGTGGTTGAGAAAAGTCCAAGATCTTTTGTATAGTTGACGAATTAAGAAACATTCTATTTTTGTTGACTACATGTTCAAGAAGAGTAATTCTTTTCAAATGAAATTGCATTTTGCTTTGTTGAGTTTTAATTCAGTCTTTCTTATTCATTGAAATACCAGGTTGAGATGTTGTAAATGTTCTTCAAAAGTACATGAGAATATATTGATATCATTAATGTAGACCATGGCAAATTTCCAGTTATAGTTCACAAGCATATTATCCATTGCTCATTAAAAGGTAGTGGATTCATTGCATACTGTTATAATTATTTTCAATAATTCTGTAATTAACGAATCTTTTAAAAATAATAGAAAATATGAAAATCTTTAAAAATAGTAATAAAAACAACAAATCGATAAAAATAGTATATACATATTGATTATTTAATAATCGTATAATAATTTTTTATTTTCTATCTTTTCTATCTTTTCTACCTTATTTACCTACTTTTTCTACTTTTTCTACCTTCGATATTTACCTTTTCTACTCTTTCTATCTTTATTTTCTATCTTTTCTACCTTTTCTACCTTATTTACCTACCTTTTCTACTTT